CCAGGACTTCCATTCTAGTTGGTCAACAACAGAAGTCATTGTTGTGAAAAGTATTTGGATTTATCTCCATGTCTCCCACAGGTGCCAGTATGCAGAGTCTTGGAAGAAGCTCAGAGGTCTCCAAAAGAGGGGCCACTGAAGCAAAAGGGTGGCAGGAAAGCCAGACCTGCTACAGAGAAGAATATGATGAATATGGCAAAGGGCTTCAGTCTGAGCTCAAAACTTTGGATTCATCAGTTAGTCCACACAGGAGAGAAATCCTGGAATGAGTAAATGAGTTGGTCTTAAAGGAAAATGGGGTGGAAACAATGAGAAAAGAGAGATATGAGGAGCAAGGAATGCAAAGGGAATGCAAGGATTAAGGATGTTTCTAAGAAAACACTTGAGAGGATGCAGTGATTGTGTCATCCCAGATACACAGGAAGATGAGGCAGGAAGAATGTGGTTTTGAGGCCAGCCAGATTAACACTGGGAGACCATGTCTTAAAAGAAAGAAAAGAAAAATCCAGACACCTCCTGCACTGATTGGACCAAGAGGTGAAGACTGGTCTCCCAGCTGGACAGCCCAATCTCTAAGCCCTAGGCCCCAGGACATACCCTGTTCTCCTCCCCAACACATCCCAGCCCAACTAGCCAATTAGGCAAGGTACCATGCCCTATCAGACCCTGTAACCTACAAGGCTCACCCCACCCTCCAAACACAACCATCCACCAAGTGGCTGTGGAGGCACAGACACTACCTGCACCAATTGGAGGACCAATTGAGCAGCCCTCAGAGGCACCATCTACACCGACTGGAGGAAGAAATTAGTAGACACCAGGGCAAGAATACATTCAAGAACATAAAGAGCAATACAGCAAGACCTGAACACCCCAACGTAGAAGAAGCAGAAGAAAACGACCTTAAAAATAACTTTATGAAGATAATGGAGGCCCTTAAAGAGGAAATGAAAAACTTCCTCAAAGACATTGAGGAAAAGACCTCTGTATATAGGCCTAGATGAAATAAAACAAGCAAGCATAAAGGCATGGGAAAAGAAGCATCAGTGAGTAAGAGTTGACTTATGAATTGAAAATTCTATAGGTAGAAAAGCCCTGAAGAGGTGTAATTAAATACCAGAAAAAAATGAACTATGGCCCCAGTACTTTTTAAACTAACATTAAAAAACAGAAAGAAGTGTGTGTGTGTGTGTGTGTGTGTGTGTGTGAACTCACAGTTCATATATTAACAACAACAACAGCAAAGCAAAGTTAGGCATGGTGGCGCACGCCTTTAATCCCAGCACTTGGGAGGCAGAGGCCGGTGGATCTCTGTGAGTTCAAAGCCAGCCTGGGCTACAGAACAAGTTCCAGGACAGCCAGGACTGTTATACAGAGAAATCTTGTCTTGAAAAAAACAAAAAACCAAACAAAGCAGAAACAAAAATATAGGTGTAATAGCATATGTTTTTAGAGAGTAGAGATAACAAAGATACTTATTCTCTGTTGTAAATCAGATCAAAATTTAAGCTCAAGTGTATACAAAAAAAAATATCAAGAGGCAGAAAATACAAATGAACTCCCCAGGCTGAAAACAAAAGGATCATCCAAAAATAAAAGATCAGATGACACAAAGGGTGCAAGTGAACTAAGATACAGAGTGAATTAAAAGCATAAATTCATTAGAGAGAGGATTAAGTGACGAAGAGAGTAACTCCTAATGAAATATAGCTACCATTAAACATGTCAAATAACACACCTAAAACACATGCATAGCACTCCCCTAAGCAAGAAATGAAATCAACAGTGAATGATACAGCAGAGATGGGAGACTAAGCAACTTTCAGAAACCTTAACAGAGAAGTTAATAACACAGAGGACATAGGAAATATGCTCCCTTTATAGCTATCTAAAATTAGACAGAATGGACTACTCAAACATCTAGGGGACATGGGGCATTAAAAAGAAATTAAATAAAAAACCCTCACCACATAGAACACAAGCCAAAGTAGTGTAGTAGAGGTCACTTTTTTTTTTTACCTTAATGCAAACTCAGGAACTAACACCAAGTATTAAAAAATATTACTTCAAAATTTAAAATTCTGTTCCTCCCACAAATAAAAACCTCATTAAAAGATTCAAAGGAACAGTGGCAAAATGTCTGAAAATTAAAGACAATAAAGCATTGCACATTAAAAGCTAAACGTTATTATCCAATGGCTAAGTTTTAATCTCACTAAGCAACACTGAGATGATTAAACATTAAATCCAGGGAGTGGAAACCATGCATGTGTGTACAGCTGGAAGGACCCAGGATTTAAAAGCACAAACCAATGACGCACCCCATGCAGATCATTATAGAGGCAGCAGGCCAAGAGGTTCAGGATGACATGCTTGCATTTTACATATTGGCATTTAAACTTTATGAGAGAGAACAGTTCTAAGATTAGAGAGTAGTAAAATGGAACTCCGGCACTGCAGGAGCATGTCTAGAAGCAGCTGCTCTGCAGTCCACTATCCCTCTGCAGCTCACATCTCACATCTCAGCTCAGCACCCAGGACAAAGCTAGAGGCCTGAACCTCCACTTAGACTGAGACTACACTCCCTACCTGGACCAACTGAGTGTGATCCCAAACTCACCCGAGTTCCCACTGCAGCGACTCAGAGACACTTGTGAGCACAACTTGAGTCCAGGGTTCCCTTCCCTCAGCCAGGTCCCATAGACTAGTCAAGGAAACCAAACTACACAGCCATTAGGAATCTCTGCCTTCACTTCGCGCTTAAAACACAGGCTCATCACTCACCACCGCGCCCTCTTGTGGATATAAACAGATCTGCAAGAAGTAGCCAGTACACTGCTCCTCCCCACCTCAATGCGGCTCAGGCCAGAGTCTGTCTTTCAACTCTGCCTTCTTTAAGGCCCTGATCACTTAACACAGCTGTCTGGCATTCATCTGGGTCTTCTGGCAGGTTGTTGAGCTTTATCAAACACGCTGGTGTTCCCTTCCCCATCTGGAGAAACTGACTCCAACCCAAACTTTCTCTACTTCTTGCTGCCCTTTATTTACCTGGAACTGAAAAACGGATGTACTTTCCACTGACAAACTTTTAAATATGGAAGGTATTGATGTATTAATTCACCAGTTCATTCAGTTTGGCATGGTGGTGAAAGATTTGAGGTATGAGTTCAGTGTTGGCTTGCTGCATGTGAGACGGTTTGTGACATTTATGAAGCCTTGTCACTAGCCACTTGGATTTTGTGGTCTGGAGTGTGAGTAGGTCTAGGACTGGATGTGAAATGTGTATTGATTCTGGGTAGGTGATGAGTAATGCTATGAGGGAGGAGGGGAAAAGGAAGGTGTGAGAGGGAGGAGGATTGGCTCTAGGACAAAATACAGATAACTTGATAGGGGAAGATCAGCCTGAGACTTAAGATAAAAGAGGCCACATGGTAGGTGTGGGGACATAAGGGCAGGGAAGTTTGCTCAGGGGAAGAATGCTTAGTTGTATTGTCTGATGATGTGACTGGTGCTTGGATGGATGGATGTACACAGTGCTGCAAGAGCAGCGAGAAGTCAAATTAGTAAACTGGAAAATGCTTTCTATGGGTGGTTACAGATCTAGGCCACGAGTCCACTAAGGTAAAAGCAGAATGGTACTTAAGAGTGAGTGAGTGAAGAAGTGTGTTTTGTGTGTGTATACACCAACATTCTCTGCATGCATTATTTAATAATTGTAGACATCACCATTCCATTAAATCATCAGTACAATACTTAAGATAGGGATTATCATTCCCAAAAATATTAAAAGAAAAAAAATGGCAAAGCTAGAGTTCACATTCATTTTGCTTCATGCTTGCCCAACACCCAGTCAGTGTTTCAAGATTTAGATCATCATTAACAAGATACACAAGGGATGTAGAATGATATTTTATAAAATTAGGGATATGATATATGACTTCCATTGTTCACGAGAGGAATAATCTTTACAAACATATTTAACAAGCTGGACAAAATTGAAAATTCCAACTCGTAAATGTTGTGAGTAAACAGTCTTGGGTATGGTAATGAGTTAAGGGCACAAAAAAAGGAAAAGGCACAGACAGTAGGCAAATGACCAGTCTTTCTATCAAGCCTCTTCTGGGAGTGAAGTTTCTCACCAGGTAGCCTCAGATGTTCCCTGACAGTCTGGCAGTGCTTTTTGAGGCTTAATTTCAGGTGGCAGTCACCTCATGGTCCAGCTATCTTAGGGGCACAACTTGATCAGGTTTCTCTCTGCAAACGACTGCCTGACTGTCACTATAAACGTAAAGGATCCTGGAGTTCATGGGATGCTTGCAGTTGTTTGCTGCAAACTCTATTTCTTTCTGTCTTCATGAAATCATCTCTTCTGGGTTGGAACCTGCCTATATTTGTCTAAAAAAAACAGAAAAACTTGATTCAAGTCAATGGTTTTTCTCAGAGCTCTTACTTATTCATTTTTTTTTTTTGTTGAGACCCTAATTTGTGGCAGGTATTATGCTAGACTTTGGAAATTCATTAGTGAACCCAACTAGGAATGAACAGCGGGAGCTGATAAGAAGCCGTGGAGGAGTGCTGTTTACTGGCTTGCTCTTCATGGTTTGCTCAGCCTGCTTTCTGAGAGAATCCAGAACCACCAACCCAGAGGGTGTCTACACTCACATTACACTTCCCTCAGATGACAAGAGCTTCTGCCAAATTACATAAAACTAGCCAGTACACTGGGATTTGAGGTCTGTGCTAGTAGATTTGGCTGGGCTTATGCCTAAAACAAGTCCATGGCAGCTGAATTACCTATGTACACATTAAAATAGTACTTCTCACCTTTAGTAATAATAATAATAATAATAATAATAATAATAATAATAATAATAATAGAACCCAATTTTTCACCTTTTTCCTTTTCTTTGTGCTCTGGCTTAGAGTGGTCAAATATCCACAGTGTGTTCTTTTGTTTCAAAATTCTTCCTGAAATGAGTTAATAATAGCCTCCCAAAATCCTACTCCATTATCAAAGATGCTACATTGGTGAAAAAACCCAGACCCATAGGTCATTTCTTGTGAATGAAGGACATTCTTGCAGCCAGTCTCCTGAAGGCACCTTTGACATCCTTGTTCCTCAGACTATAAATTATGGGGTTTAGCATTGGAGTCACTACTGTATAGAACACAGATATTATCTTATCCTGCTTTTTTGTGGTTTTGGTGTTTGGCTGCATATAGTTAAATATTGCTGATCCATAGAAGAGGACAACAACAATGAGATGGGAACCACAGGTGGAGAAGACTTTGAGCCTCCCCTCCCCAGACTGCATCTGGATCACAGTGGAGATGATGTTCCAGTAGGAGATGAGGATGAGGGAGACAGGTGCTAGGAGGATGATTACACCCATTGCAAAGATGGCCATTTCTGTGCTGTAAGTGTCTGCTGAAGCCAACTTCAGGAGGGCAGGAAGCTCACAAAAGTAATGGCTGACTGTGTTCTGCCCTTTATAGGGAAGATGGAAAGCAACAGTAGTGTCTATCAGGGATACTAGGAGCCCACTAGCCCAGGACCCTAGAGTCAACTGGAGACATAGTTGTTGGGTCATGATGGTGGAATAGTGCAGAGGCTTACACACAGCCACGTACCGGTCATAGGACATCACTGCTAGCAGAGCACACTCTGTACATCCAATCTGAAGGGTGACAATTACCTGTGTCACACAGCCCCAAAAAGAAATAGTTTTCCTTTTTGTCAGGAAGTGGGACAGTACTTGAGGAACAATGCTATTTGAGAAACAGAGATCTGCAAAAGAGAGGCTTCTGAGAAAAAAGTACATGGGGGTATGAAGTCGAGAATCCATGAAGACGAGGATAATGATGAGCAGGTTCCCAAGTACAGTCAGCACATAAATGATGAAGAAAAGAACAAACAGAAGGATCTGAGTCTGTGCATCTTGTGAAAGACCCAGTAACAAAAACTCATCTACAAAGGTCTGGTTTTTCCTTCCCATTGAGCTTTATGCTTGTTTACCTGTTTGCCATAAACAACAAGAACACAGTATGACTGGGTTTATAACATTAAGTCCTGTAGAAGTGGCTTATGTTAAAACTGACATCTAATTGAATATTTCTAGGATTATATATTTTTTATCTAACATGTTCTAATTAACATATATGTTTATTTTTATTCTAATTATTTGTCTATAGTTTACATCAACCCCTTTTCCCCCAGATCTTTCTTATAACCACTGCAGTTTTTTTTTTAAATAGATAAAATACAATATAGTTTAAAGTGTTCCTTGGAGTTCTGGAGATATGGCTCAGACACTAAGAGCACTGGCTGCTCTTCTAGAACACCCAGGTTCAATTCTCAGCACCCACATGGCAGCTCATAGTGTTCTTAACTCTAGTTCTAGGGGTATGATGGGTGCCTTCTGCTAGTCTCTTCAAGCACTAGGCACGCACATGGTGCACAGACATAAATGCAGAAAAAACACTCAGAGAAATAGACATTAAAAGAAAGTCTCCCCATCTAATTTTGATATGAGGGTTAAAAGTTATAAATGAAAAAAGAAGTTAAAAATTGTGATACCTTGTTAGGGCTACATCTGAAATGATGAAGCAAATATGAATGATGTTTTCGACATGTGTAGAAAGGTATCTGTGAAATAATATTAAGACAGTATTGGAAGATAAACCCACAAAATGAGAATATTTGAGGAAGATGCTAGATAAAAGTTAACTATGACATTCAGGCCATTTGAAACACAATAAATAATTAAGCTCAAAAAGTGATGTTCCAAAAAGCACACACAGACTATGAAGAAGAAATTGTGGTGTGGGACATGTACAGAGATTTAATATATCAAATATTAAGAAATTATTAAATTAAAGTAATTTATTTATATCATAGCAGTTCAGATAACAGCATCTTGGTGAAATTAATAGAGAATTCAGAATCAAATTGGAGAATAGCCTGGGAATAAGTGATAAAGGGAATAAATGATAAAGGATCATCCAAGTCAATAGGGGAAAGGCATATTAAAGACAGCTATCTGATTAGAAACAAAACTTTCTCAAAATTACTCTAATATAAAACAAGGCAAAATAAAACACCCTATAAATGATCCAAAATATAATTTTTTTTGGTAATTTTTAAGGGGGGAAGGACCTTCTTAGGGCATTGAAAAGCATAACCATTAAAGTAAGATTGGCATGTTTTATTGCACAGCCGCTTAAAAGTGAATGATTGACAACATAGACAACATGTTGTCTATAGACAACATAGAAAATCAAATTATCATATTAGAGGGCTTTGAAAATCCAATAATAAAAGAACTCTTACCTAGAAAAAATGGAAACCATGGGCCCAGTCAGGGGGTGCTTGCTTTGCAAGCATGAGGCCTTGAGTTACATCCCCAGAGCCCACACCAATAATCCAGGCATGGTGGCACCCACTAATCCCAGCAATGTGGGACCAGAAAAAGGCAGATCCCCGGGGCTCAGTTCCCAGTCAGTCTAATCTACATGGCCAGTTCCAAGCCATTGAGTACAGGGAGCTTTTCATTTCTGCCTTCACAGTGCTGGGATTATAAACCTGTGTCACCACACCTGGTTTAAATTGCAATGAGTTCTGGGGATTGAACTCAGGTCTTTATGCTTCCAAGGCAAGTACTTTATTGACTGTTTTTTTTTTTTTTTAAACATTCAACCTGAAAAAGAACTTTAAACATGCAAATCACAGAAAAAATACAAATGACAAAAGAATTGATCATGTCCTTACTTAAAACCATAGAAATGTAAACTGAAGCAAGGATTTGCTGTTCTTTCTCATTTAGCAGACTGGCAGAGATGTAGTAGAATTAAGTCACTCACTAGAATATAGGCATGAGTGTTTATAAAATATCTCTCAAAGGACCTTGAAAATCTAAGAAATCACAAAATGAATGTTTCTCTAGAAAAGATCATCTGGAGTGAAGTAACCCAGACCCAGAAAGAGAAATGTTGCATGTTATTTCTCACCTGAGGTTCCCTAACCATATCTTTAGATGTGAGTACATAGTATGGAGTAACTGCTGATACCAGGAAAGTAAAAAGAGACCATTTCAGAGGTAGGGGTTGGAGCAATAGAGAGCAGAATAGCAGGGCAACTGTGATCTGAAGAGAAAATGGGAAAACAAGGGGGATCTAATTAGTGAAGTTGGAAAAGTTAAATATAGAAAAAGTTATTAGCTACCTACCTCAAAATACTTATAATGCATGTAAGTCAATGTATAAATATAATATATGGTTTAAATGAAAATATTGCATCTTGACTGACAATGTCCCAAAGAGCCAAAGACCACCTAAAACATAATCCCAGCACCTGGCATGGGAAGCTCTCTTTGTTGTTGACCAGCGTTATCTAGGAGACTTCCAAAACATTATAGGCTATTACTATAGCCCTTGGTTGCCCTGCCTCCTGGAGATAGAAGGTAAGTCCCTATCACTAAAGACACCATGTACTTTGGACACAGGACCCAGAAGCCCAGAGCTGGATCTAGTCTTTTTTAAAGCCTTCCCCTCAAGAACTAGCTTTCATGGTACCAAAGTCTCTGTGCAAGCTTCCGGAGGACAGAAAACAGCCAACAGTCTTACCTACCTATGGTGTCAGTGAACCACAATTATGACTGGCATGTCACAATAACTTGAAGACTGCAGCAGTGGCACACATAAGTTAGCAGTAATCATCAGTTCTCTGATTGGACTTAAGACCTGCTCAACAAGAGGGAAATTATGCTTGGTACTGGAAACCTAGCCAATTACTTAAGGCTAATGAAGTCATAGATCTTGGAGGAGATGCTACAATTACCTCCACCACTTTACTAAACCAGCATAATCCCTAACTACATTCTAAATATTTGTCTTATATCTACAGATAACTAGTTCTTACCCCTCACCAAGGAAACCTCTCTTTGCAACAGGTAGAGAACATTACAGAAAACTACAACTGATCAAAATGCAGGGTTGTGGAGGCCAGTCTCAATGGATAGATCTACAATAACAACTTCTGCACCAAGTTCAGGGATTACTGTAGAACAGGTGGTGGGAAGACTGTAAGAGCCAGAGGAAGAGGGAGTTTTCTGTGAGATTGTGTCACCTAGAAATGTCAGAAACTACACCCATGAAGTCTCAACAACATGGCTTTCTAAATATGACCTGAACAAGGTAGGTAAATAGGCATGGAAGGTGGATATCTCAGGAGACTTCAGCTTTTAACAAAGAATGACAGGTAACTAGGGAATGCTGAGAGATGGAGAAATAGTCTTCCCCATGGAGGAGCACATACATTGGTATTCAATACCAAATGTCAGACCTGAAAACATATACACCATAAATAATAGTACAAGGATTGATCAAGTTGCATGTACATATACACACATGCATATGTACATATATATGCATGTATATATGTATATGTAAAAACAACTGAAAAAAGATGCCATGAATTTCGAAGAAACAAGGGAGGTATATAGGGGAGGGTGGCAGGGAGGGAAGGGAAGTGGGAACAGATATAATCTCAAACAATAAAAAAATTATAATAACTGTTCCATTTTTTCTCTGAAAATCTCAACTTTTGGCATTTGGTATCTTATAAATAACTACAGGCATGCATGGTACCTTGTTTCAAATATTCACATAGGATTATAGCAAAAGAATCTAACCTATAATTTATAAGTATGTCAAGTAAAATTATAGTTTTTCTATAAAATATAATTTATGCAGTATAATAAAGAATTAGGAAGAGTATAGACATCTGAATTACACATATGTTCACTGGGTTTTCATTTCTTGTTTTCTTAGTTTAATAGCCCTGGAGAATCCTTTTTGTCAACCAATACAATTAGTATTTTATCAAAACTGTGATACAGATGTAAAGATTAAATAAAAACTTAATAGGAAATTTGCATAATTTCTGGAAACTACATTAAAGAAATGGTAACAGTGATAAAGATAATGAAGATATGATTATATTAAATAAATTGATTAATTAATTGTTAAGTATTCTATATTTTCCATTAAAAGATGTCTGACATATGCCAAGTTAAAAAATAGGCTGCCCCCACATTAACATATAATAAAATAAATAATAAAAAGTAAGAAGTAGATTGAGAGATAAAATATATGGATATAAATTTTGTATTTATGGAACATATACAGAAATGATACCTTTATCACTATGATGATTTCAACACCAAGCACAGAACAGACACTTAGAATTCTGATAGAATCTGTAGTAGATATAGAGTTCCCTTTTATCTACTGGGAACTTATTCTAAGACCCTTAGTGAATGCTTGAATCTTGGGAATCAAATCCTATAATTTTTATTTCCTATGCATACATACAGATGATAGAGATTAATTTATAAGTTAAATACAGCAGGGTATTAACAATAATAACTAATAAAATAGAACAGTTATGATAATATAGTATAGTGAATATTAGGTGAATATGATCCTTCTCTTTTGGAAGAATGAAGACAAACAATATTCATGGATGGATTGTGATCAACAATATGTGTCTGAAGTCAGAGATAGTGAAATCATGGATAATGTAAAATTGTTCCATTAAGAATATGGGCTACAAAATAAAGAATGTAGAATTTGTACATACACACATATGGGAAAGTGTAGTTTAATATCAAAACAGCAAAGTGGGCAGTAGAGTATTAAATGAGTGAGAAGGGGCTGTCATGAAACATAGTGCC